TTATTTTTACTCACAGGATGAGAAATAAGGCTTATAAAACAACTTGGCCTGGTGTCTCGTGGTAGACACCAATAAGTGAGAAATGTTGCTATTATTTCTGTTAGAGCTGCAAATTGAGTAATGTGACATTTGTACATTTTTTTATTATATTTCTAATTTTATAATAAGTGTGCTGTGGTTACTTTTGTATTTCCACATGTATTTCCAAAGTGTTTTTAACCCATGTGAAATCTGTCTTTACTCAAAACATTTACTAAATCTTAGGAGAGTTTATATCTTTTCCATTGTATCTTTGAAGTTCATGACCAGAAATCATATTTTACCTTTTGTATAATTAAGCTACTTGCATACCTTTTTACTGCTTATTTTTTTAAAAAAGGAGATAATAGGTCATATCATAAAATAGCCATAGCATCTAATACTGTACTATATTTCTTATGGTATTTCATGTATTTTATGGTTTTTTTTTTTTTTTACATTGACGCCTGTAGTAAAGATGGAACATCTTTTAATATTGTCTTTTTTTTTCTTTCTTTCTTTTTTTTTTAAATTTAGTACAAGGTCTCACTACACAGATCAGACTCATAGTGATTCTCCTGTTTTCAGCCTCCCAAGTCATTGGGATTACATCACGCACCACCACACCCAGTCTCAATCACTGTCTCATTGCGCTCTGGGGGCAGGGCTGGCATGACACGCTGAAGGTTGAAGCCGGGTCCCTACGTCTGCCTGAGAAGGCGCTTTAATCCACTGAGCTATCTGGCCAGTCTGTTATTGGCATTTTTATAAATTACCTTTGGTAAATGTGTAGTGGTTGCATCTATTATAATGAATTTATTTTCCAGCAGGCCTTTTTGGTTGGTTCTCTAGCCATGGTAAGGTAATTACCTGTGACTGGATGAAGTATTTTTAACTATTTGGCTGTAGTGCAGAGATGTGATTCTTGTCAGACTCCATTATGGTACATCCTTGGGGTATTTCCTGCATGATTTCTTTATGAATAGAGAAATTATTATAAAGCTTTTTTTATGTTGATAAAACAAGTCATTTTTCTTATCCAGTCTAATATAGGTTAAATATTCAAAGAAGCAACAGAAAATATTCTGCATATTCCAAGGGTGTACAGCTTCAAGATACTAAACGAATGTACATTTCTTAAAACAATTTTGGTTTATAGTCAGTGTCTCACATTTAATAGGAATTTATGTTCTGCCTCAAAAAATGTAATTTTACCTTTAGATCTTACCTAGTGGTTTATTTGTTGGGTCTTGTGATTGTTTTTTAATCTACATATGTTTTTGAAGCTCTGAATAGTATCTACAATGCAACCTAATTATATTCACTAGTACTTTGGCATTTTGTTCTGAGGATCAAAAGTGGCTCATATTTGTTAGCCTTTCCCAATTCTATCTTGAAATCATTTTTTTCTGTTATCTCTTATAGTTTTCCCAATATAAAATTCTAGTATTGCCCATGACTTCTTTTTTTTTCAATTATTTTTATTTATTTATGTGTGTGTGTGTGTGTGTGTGTGTGTGTGGCCAGCTCAGCCCACCAGGGGGCGGGGCTGGCTGGCATGTGGTGCTGGGGATTGAACCACGGTCCCTGTGCTTTGCTAAGCTTGTTCTAAGTAGGTGCTTTAGACCACTGAGCCATCTCACCAGCCCCTGCCCATGACTTCTTTAAAAAGCAAAATTACACTCATCTCTTTTCCTTAAGCTTTCTGAAATTGCTTCAACCCGAGTAAAGAGAAAAAGTTTATCAATACTAAATCCTTTAATATGAATCTTAATGTTTAAGAAAAGGTGTGGGCCACAGTCAGATTTGGGTTTCAGTTATGAAATCATCCCTTCTTGGCTATGTGACCTTTGAGGGCATTTTTTAACATTCCCAGTATGTTTCATCTGTACAGAGTATTAATGAATCATAATGTTCAGATTTTTTATTAAATCGATACATAAAAATTGTACATACTAATTATATAACAATGTTTCAATACATTTATACACACGTCATGTTTAAATCAGGTTAGACACATCTATCTTAAACATTCATTATTTATTGCGAACATTCAGAATAATTTTTCTAACATATTGAAATATGAAATTCTTAGTTACCTATACTGATCTGACTGCATTTTTCCACCATTCCTTCTTATTACTAACTGTACCTGGATCCCTTTGATAACCTTTCCCCATGCTTTCCTTTCCTCAACTCTTTCCAGTCTCTGATAATCAATGTTCTACCTGAGTTAAAATGAATCAACTATTACACATTATTTTATATTCTGCATATAGGAAACATCTTATAATACTTGTCTTTTTGTAACTGGCTTGTTTCACTTAATATAATGATAACCAGTTCCATCCATGTTACCAAAAATGATAGGATTTCATTCTTTCTGTGGCTGGATAGTATTTCACTGTGTATGTGCACCACATTTTCTTTATCCATTCATCAGTTGATGTATATTTAGGTTGTGTATGTGGCTGCAGTGAGCATGAAAATGTAGTCGTCTCTGCTGTATTCATTTCATTTCCTTGAGATTATTTGAGGAAACTCCGTATTGTTTCTCATAATAGGTGTACTAATCTCCCAAAAACAGTATGCAAGGGTTCTCTTTCCTCTACATCCTAACACTTGGTGTCTCTAGTCTTTTTTTTTTTTTTTTTTTTTTCCTTTTCTTTTTTTGTAATAGCCATTCTCCCTAGGATGGAGAAATATCTCATTGTCATTTTGATTTACATTACATAATATTGATAATGAGCATATTTTTCTATACTGATGGTCATTTATGTTTTTTCTTTTGAGAAATGTCTATTTGGGTCTGTTCTTTATTAAATCCATTTGCTTTTATTTGTTTTACTGTTGAGTTTTGGAGTTCCTTATATATTTTGGATAGTAACCCCTTGTTTTGATGTCTAGTTTACAAAAGCTATACTTTCTCCTATTGTAATGGTTGTCTCTTCACTCAGATGTGTGTTGCCTTTGTTGTGCAGAAGCTTTTTAATTTTATATAATCCCATTTTCCTATATTTGCTTCTGTTTCCTATGTTTTAGGGTTCTTATCATGAGGTATTTCTTCTACCTCTTTTAAAAATTTCAAATCTTGTAAGTTTTTAATCCATTACGAGTCTTTTTGTTGTTTTTTGTTTTTTCCTACTGAGAGCTAGTGGTCTTTTAGTTAAAGAATTTTTGTGATCTAGAGGATGATCATAAATGTTACTCCTTTCCAGGAAATAGGTTTAATTACTGAATAAAATTAATTATTTAGAAATGCAGGTCTATGTTTGTTTTTATTCTTTGAGACCAGCACCTTTTGAAAAATCTCTCAAGGGTAGCAAACATGATGATATTCTACATAGACCTCCTTGTTAGAGGAACATACTGTGTGTATGCTGATGCAGGCAGTTGAATGAATTTCCAAATGAGTTTTCGTAGTTTATTATTTTATTCTAAGCTAACAGGCCTCAAATGAAACCTGCATTTCAGTCAGGTTTTTACCCAGAGAGACAAAACACATACTTGGTTTGCCCTTAGTAGAATTGCTTCTATCTACTTTTTCTCTAAGTATTTGTATGTTTTTTCAGTACATCAAGTAAGATTAAGTAGTGTCTCACAGTTATATGTAATTCCAATATAAAGAGGCTTAAGATCCTAATGGTACATAATTTGTACTTAGAAATTTCCTCCCTTGAATGTAGTTATATGACGTTTTCTGAGATGTGATTTTTACAATCAGTTTGGTCACTTTTTGGGATTACTTTAGGTACATAGACTAGTTCTATACAGTGTCTATTTCTCTTACATAAACTTCTTGTGTTATTTTTGTTTTTTATGTTTATTTTTATTTTTTTAGAAAAGATCTCTGTGTATTTCATGATGACCTTGAATTCACTTTGTATCCCATGCTGGCCTAGAACTCATAGTGATCCTCCTTGGTCAGTCTCCAAAGTGTTGGGATTATAGGCATACACCACCATCCCCAGTCAAGATAAACTGTTCTAAAACATCAAGAATACTGTATTGGAGTTAATATGTTTTCTTTTTTGAAGTATTGGTTTGTTTTCTTAGTGGAATGGTATTTCTGTCCAAGGAAGTGGTTACTCTCACTGTTCTCTGTAAAATTTAAAAAAGCAAATGGAATGATGGCATTCTTGCAGTTATGTCTACTCTCAGTTGATCCAGTAGTGATATAAACAGAAATACAAATGATAGTACTATGGTACCTTTAGTATAAGTTGTGTAAAAGCCTCCTCCTCCAGATCAATAAGGAAGTCTTAGTATTCTTTCCTCTTTCACTATGGTAATCTCTGTTTCTTCTCTGCTTCCATTAGGGTATGAAAATGTGTAAATTCTTGCCTTAATTAAGAATAGAGATTAAATGACCATCTGAAATTTAAGGCAATGTTGAACTGTGTAATAACAACTATTATTTAATGAAGAGTAGCTCTTTATTGCTTATTTTTTATCTACTGTATGAAAATGATTATGAATTATTTTGTTCCAAGGTGTTAAAACTAATACAGCACCGTTTTTAATGCAAACACAAGGGCTCTTAAACAAGAAATTTTTTAAAGTTCCACATGAAAGTCAGATGTACTTACTTCCCTCCTAATATATCTGTGTCCTAAAGCCCTCAGGAGAAAATGGTTCAAAAATTTGTTTTCGTGTCTAGATTGTAAGTAAAGTCACTTGTCATACATGAGTTGCAAAATGCAGACCTTCATTCTGAAGCTGCCTGTTTCTCATTTGGATCTGACATATTAAAAAGCATATAATTAATGGTTGACATTAGTAATTAACATTAACTTTATGGTGCTTAATATGCCATCACTCATCCATCAAATAACCAGAAAAGCATTATGTCTTGACATAAAGGTTTTAATTATATAAAACGGTCCTTCAGTTTTCATATGATATAAATGAAAAAGCCAAAAATGTATTTTAAAAGATTTCTGTAAGCTTTGGGTATTAGCTGTATTTTCATTTCTTTATAGGAGCTTTCATCAACAATTGTGTCAGGAGCTTCAAAAGGAGAATGTAGACCTAGTTGTGCAGTCTTCATTACTGGCTAAAGAGCGCCACCTTGCTGCAATTGCCAGCGCACTATGGAGACACTTCTTTGCATTTTTGAAGAGTCAGAGGATGGCAGAGATTGTGCCTCTCTCACAACTTGCAGATGCAGCTGCAGGTCAGCATTGTTAATTTGCTAATTCCTTTCTCTTTTTGCAGGCTATTTTGCAGGCAGTATTTTCCTCCAGTTTCTTGGTTTAAAAAAAAAAAAACTCTTGCTTTATAACAGTGTAATAAACATTGTTACAGCCAGAAAGATAAAATGAATTACATGTTATTTGGAAAGTAATTGTAGTGGTTGATTATGTCTTGTTCAAATAATTTATTTTCATATTTTGTAAGCACATATCTAGGAATAAAATGCATCAGGAGGCTGAGTGTGAATGATGTTGTTCCTATTTCTACCAAATTGTGTTTTAGGCATAATTTCTACTTACTGTGTTTATTGCCCTAAGGTCATGTATTTAAGATTTAGGACACTCCAACAGTTATGAAATTCTAGGCAAAATTTTGAATATATATGCTTATGTGTACTTTTCTAAGAACAGGGGTCTCTTTCTCAAAAGAATATTTTGCCCAGATATGTTACAAAATATAGAGTGCATAGAAATCAGTATGGTTATGGTGTGTGTTGAAGGAAAAATTAATATTTTATGTATTTTTAAAACCTAATATCTAAGCAGATATTCATCCTGGTATGAATGAGGAAAGTGGAGTCTAGCAACCATAGAGTGTGAAAGCCTAAGTAATATAAATGTAGGCAAATCTAGAATTCTGGTGGCACTTCATATTTTTATGACTCTACAATGACAGATTGAAGTATTGTGACAGAGGAATGGTTTCTAACTACTGTAATATCTGTGGAAGTAAGTACTGATATTCCATCAGTTAAAGCAAAACAATCATTAATAGCCAGTATGACTTATCTGTCTTGTATTCGTTATCCCATCTGCCAGTCAACAACGAAAATATTGCATCATTTTACAAAACAAAGTGTGTATGGGTTTTGGGATGATTTGAAATAGTCGCTGGTTTAGGAGAGAATGTTTTCCTTCATTTAAAACAAAGGCATCAAATATCTACTTTTATAGGGTTTAGGGATATACCAATGAAATATGCAGAAAAAGACTACCTATTGTTACAAAGATTATAGTCTACTGGAGGAGGGGACTAGAATAAAATTTAAATGTGTAATATTTTAAATAGTGATAATTCTATGGAGAGTAATGGTAAGTACAGAAGCAGATGGGGATGGTGAGGCCAGAAGCAGGTTGTAAGTTTAAATACAGTAGTCAGAAGTACCAAGTAAATAACATTTGAACAAAAACCTAAAAAAGGCGAGAGGTCATGGTAGCCAAAGACCAGAGGCAAGAGGAGTCTGTTGTGCCTGAAAAACTATAAGGGAGCAGTGAAGGTTCATGTGGAATAAAAGAAAGGGCAAGAGAAGTCAGACATGAAGAAGTCATGGAGAGCCAGTGTGTGTCCTGCCTTGTCAATGGACATAAAACCTCTGCTTTTGCATTGAAGGTAGAAATTGTTGCTAAGCTTTCAGGGGAGGAATGATATAGCCCTTCTGGGTGATGAGTTACAAAGGACAGGAGAGACACAGGAGGGTAAGAAGGCCACAGAGGGATGTAGTGCAGCAACCAAGTAATGAGCACCCAGGGCTGACATGGTGATGAGAAATAGTCAAGTTTTCCAATCTAAAAGTAGAGAAAGGGCCAGTGAGATAGCTCAGCAGTCTAAAGCGCCTGCTTAAGAAAGTGCTCAGGGATTGCGCCAGCCCCACCCCACCCCCCACCCCCGGGTGGCCTGAGCTAGACACAAAACAAAGAGATAAAGACACTCATCTCTGAGAAAATTTGTTAAGGGCTGGCCAGAGAATTTAGCAAATGAAAGCAGCTGCTTAGGAAGACTCAGTGACCATCACCCAGAGTTCTGTGCCGGCCCCGCCCCCGGCAGAGACAGCATTGAGACTGGGCGTGGTGGCACTCCCTTGTAATCCCAGCGCTTAGGAGGCTGAAAATAGGCGGATCACTATGAGTCTGACCTCTGTAGTTAGACCCTGTACTAAATACAACAAAGACAACAACAACAATAATAATAATAATAATGACAATAATAATAAAAGTAGAGAAAACTATTTTGAATGTGGAGCTGACAGTATTTGCCAAGTAGATAAGGTAAGGTTAAAGTAATGAAAGGAGTTAAGGGTAACTAGCCATTTGCTAAGCTAGGGAAGGTTATGGCAAGCACATATCTGAGGAAGCTAATAATTTTTATTTTGGATTCTTTTTAAATGACAACTATAAATAGATAGGTTAAACAGGACGCTGAATACTAAGTCTAGGTTCTGAGAAGAGGTCTGAGCTGGAGATGTGTATTGAGTCTTTAAAGCCATGAGCCTGGATGGAATCACCATTAGTGTATATGGGTGAAGACAGAGCTTAAGCACTATACTGTCCTTTAGTTCTAAGTTGAGATTTGTCAGATAAGGAGACAAGAAAGTACTTTCTATAAAGGATTGATTGAGAAGCCTAAATTAACATAGTACATACTGAGTTTTTGAGTTCCTGGAAAATCACAAAATAAAATGTATTTGGTTAGCACAGTTCAAGAATGCTAGTTCCTAAAACTGGGTTCTGAGGAAAGTTGGATATCATTGATTGTAGGGGATTATTGATAAATAGGTGAGAATGGCCAGTGCTGAAGGTGAGAGTACATTTGTTACCCATGGCGAGTAGCAGCTAACTTAGCTTAACTGGAGAAGTGTAGATGCTGGAAATATCTTCAAATGATCTTTGAATTATGGCAGCACATTAGCAGAAACTTCAGGCTTAATTTGAAGGAGCCATTATAGATATGTAATGACAGTATTGAGATAGGTGCCTCTGTGCCATTTATTGGGGAGCAAGACGGTATTAACAGAAATTTCTTATGACTACATGAATGTAATTGTTCTAACTTTTTTTTCTGTATTTCTAAACATGTTTTGTTATTTGATACTTTATCACTTTTTTTTTTAATTTATTTATTTATGTGTGTGTGTGTGTGTGTGTGTGTGTGTGTCCAGCTCAGCCCACCAGGGGGCGGGGCTGGCTGGCATGTGGTGCTGGGGGATTGAACCGCAGTCCCTGTGCATTGCCAAGCTTGTTTCAAGTAGGTGCTTTAGACCACTGAGCCATCTCTCCAGCCCCACTTTATCACTTTTGATAAAAATTTGGGAAGAAAATTTTGAATTTCTTCTTACCTTAGTTTTCTCTCATTTTAAATCTAGATTTTACCTTGCTAGCAGTGGACATGCCAAGCACAGCCCCGTCAGAGCTTCAGCCTCAGCCAGTTATGTCAATTATTCAGATGTTTGGGTGGGATGATATCATCTGGCCCCAAGTTGTAGCAAGATATTTAAGTCATTTACTACAAAATAGGTATGTGTCTTTATTTCAGACCTGCACAGTAAATGTAAATCCTGATTTACAGATCAGTACCCTGGTCAGATTAAGAATTTTATAAATGAAAACTGACATTGTCCTACGTGCTTTCTCTTTAACAGTATTGTTTGCTTTCAGATTATCTTTTGACTATAGTAATATAGGAGAGCTAACTTATGTTTAGTAGCTTGTTATTGTTGGTTAATGATGCTGGTTAAACCTTTGCAAAACTGTTCTCATAGACTCCTGTTACTGTTTTCATGAGGTGTCTTTGCTGTACTTGTCATTGTGAGAGGCATGTTATGATATCATTCTACTGCTTTCAAACTACCCAAATTTGATATTTGACACATTTTTACATGAAGATTTTGTCTTGGTACTGGTGTTTGTTTGGTATTCTATATACAAGTAGAACTTATCTATGTTGATTGCCTTGTGTTTCACTACTATTCCCCACTATTTTAGTTACTTTTCTCACTGCTGGGGCAAATAACCTGACACCCAAAGTTAAAGGAAGAAAGGTTTTGGCTCACAGTTTGTGGAGCTTTCAGTCCGTAGTCAGCTGGCTCCAAGGCAGGGTGGCCTAGCAGAGGGCCGTCACAGAGGAAAACCAGTCCATGGCAGAGCAAAGCAAGGAGCAGTAGCCAGCAGTGAAGTAGCAAGGATCAAGAGGCAAGCAGCAAGCAGTCATACTAGCCCTCTCCTTTTTCCCTTATATTTTACCAAGGGTGGGTAGTACTCACACCCAGGGTGGGGCACCTTTAATCCTGCCCGAATTATGTTAAACCAATGAGTGAAGTAATTTAGTAATTACACACCCTTAGTCCCTGCATCACACAGTCTAAATCCAGCCACCTCTGAGAAAGCCCCACCTATAACCACATGAGGCTTTGGAGGGACATCTGCATGTAAACCGTAACACCAGCCAAAACAATCTGGTATTCATTGTCTTTGGTGCCTGTTGTGTAACCCAGAACCAATGACCAATGCCAAGGTATAACTGTAGTTAAAAAGTTACAATAGAAATAGTAGAGTTGTATCAGGAAGCCTGATTCCTCATGGCTCACCAACTAAATATTGCCAGGTTTTGAGCTGCTTGCCTCTTCCTCTGGAGATAGGATCCAGGGTCTTCTCATCTCAAAGAATGGGATGAAATGAGAAAAAACAATCCGAAAGTTTATTTGAGAAAGTAAAAGCGAAGAGTGGTGAGAAACTTTGATTCTGCAGAGTGAGACTGAGCTGAACAAAGAGAAAAAGAAGGTAAAAGTAAAACTGCATGTGGCATCTGGGAAATGCAGCATGGCTGTCATCGCAAGTTACGATATCAAGGTCTTTATGCATTGCCTTTCTCTTCTGCATATAGGTTCTGAGAGGTGGTGCTGGGATCCCACGCCTCAGGCTGACCTCATGTCTAGGCTGTCCTATTGAAAACTGGCCCCAGTTCTCGTGAGAACTTGCAGGGCTTTGGGAACTGTTCTACACACGTCCAGGATCTTTATCATGAACAGGCCACACCTGCTTCCCCAGCCTGCTTTGCTATGCCCAATCTCCTATCTTAGAGGGATCAAGAATATTTAAGAATTTCAGAATGAGGGGAAATGATATAAATATACAGACCAAAGAGGCCAATGTAGTTCTTGCCTAAGCTGCCAGTCAGTGAAGATGAACAGAGATGAAGTTAGTGAGGAAATTCCTTTTCTAAGAGGTCCATTAACCAAAGTCATTAAGTATATACTGTCGTACGGGACTTTCAGTAGTAATGTAAGGGAATTAAACTTCAATTGTATCAATTTTTGGATCCCTTCTAGCTTGAAAATCCTGCGGTAATAATGGACATTTATATTAATTATTAAACGTGTTGAAATTTGAAATAATTTTTATTTTTAAAATAAGACTAGGGGCTGGGGAGATAGCTCAGTAGAATAAGTACTTGCCTGGCAAAGCACAAGATCCTGAGTTTAATCCCCAGTTCTGAAAAAAAAAAAAAGACCCTAATAAAACATTTATAAAAGTAAATAAAATAAGACTGGTTTGTTAATAACAGTTGAACACAGTGAAGGAAGAAGGTGTTAAATAACTTGAGGGAAAGTTATGTAAGTAACAGCTAATCTGTTCTTCATTATGTACTTTTATAAAAGAATTGCTTTGGATATTTCAAAGGTATGGATATTTCAAAGGTTTGGATATTTCAAAGATATTTTAGAGGTATGATTATATATATATATATATATATATATATGATTATATGTAGTCATATATATAGTTAGAATATGTTTGTGATGTGTAAATATTCTCATTATGGGGAGTTGCTATATACACTCATCCCATCTTTGTCCGTTTTACTTTCTTTTCTCCCTTTTCTGCCCTTCCTTGTACTTCCATATCCCCAAAGCCCTTTCCCATTTCTAAAAAGCCTACCTCTCTGTTTCCTATCATCTGTCTTTTATTTTGTTCTTTAAATTGTTTACACTTTGGGATTTCTCATATAAGAACAAACTGGGATGGGGCTGGGGAGATAGCTCAGCAGCATAAACGCCTGCCTGGCAAGCACAAGGTCCTGAGTTTGATCCCTGTTACCCTAAAAAAAAAAAAAAGTGTGATTTTTAACCTTGAATGTCTGATTTATTTCATTTAGCATTATGGTCTCAAGGTTATCCATTTTCCTGCAAATGATTCAGATTTATCCTTTATAATAGAGTAGTACTCCATTGGCTTTTTTTTTTTTTTTTTTTTTTTTTTAGTACAGAATCTCATTACATAGATTGGACTCATAGTGATCCTCCTGTTTTCAGCCTCCCAAGTGCTGGGATTATAGGCGGGTGCCACCACACCCAGTCTCAGTTGCCATCTCCCTGCACCCTGTAGGCGGGGCCGGCACTGACAGACCGGGGATTGAACCCTGGCCATTGTGCTCTGCCTAAGGTTTTCGTCCACTGAGCTATTTGGCCAGCCCTCCATTGTGTATATACCACATTTTCTTCATCCATTTATCTGCTGTCTGTTTCCATGATTCAACTATTATGAGTTGTTCTGTTATAAACATGGGTGAATTATACCTATTTTTAAAAATTTACAGGTACTTTATTGTTGTTTAAACTGTCCTCTCTATTCCCTCTTTAGAAAGCAGATTTTGGGCCAAGGAGATAGCTCAGCAAAAGTGCCTGCCTGGCAAGGACAGGGTCCTGAATTTGATTCCACAGTATTCCCCAAAAGAGATTTAGTTAGGTCATTGGCTTCTCAGAAATAAGTTGTTTTTCAAGTTTCTGGGAGGTATGATTTTAGAATTCTCTACTAGGTAATCTTTGTTGCATGTGGATTAGAGAAGCAGAAAAGGATGGGATTAATCAGAGATACAGAAATTTTGTTTTTAGTGGTTTTTTTACACAAATAATCATTACCACTTCTGTACTTGATTACTCCAAGGGCCACTGGTTTTGTTTTATTGTTTGTTCATTTGTTTTTTCACTTGCCACTTCATTTTTGTATCACCTAGCTAGTTATAAGCCCCTAGTTTTTTCTATATTTCATCATGTTATTTAGCATTTCCTGTGGCCTTAGCTTATATATATGCCATCAGTGGAAGAAGGAAGTATTAGAATATTAAAAAAAAAAAAAAAACAGTATTTTAAGTCCTTTTTTGTATAAATCTATAGCATTCATTTTAATCAATGCATGCCTTTTGTAGTGTTTTCCTCTAAAAACAAGTGAGGCCAAGGAGGGGCTTGTAAGGTGTTATAATTTTTTTCTTTACTTAATCTTTGTATTCAAGGAATATATTGCCATTTAGATTTTGCTTTAATACTCTATCACCTTGTTTTCACAGCACATTATGTGAAGCACTTTCTCATTCAGGCAATGTATCTTTTCAATCTTCAACTATAAGATCGTGGATCCGCTGTGTTTTGCAAATGTATGTTAAAAACCTCTCTGCTCCTGATGATTTGTTCATTGATATGAATCCTGAACAGGCAGTTGGTAAGTTAGTAATGCATGTTTCTTTTTGATTGGAGAATGGGAGGGTGGTAATCTATTGAGAGCTTTTTGTTTTTTATTTCTTATATACATTAAATAAATATGATTATGGATATAAATACTTATTTGTAGCCTGCTCCTTTTTTTTTTAATTTTTTTACATTTTATTTATTGTGTGTGTGTGTGTGTGTGTGTGTGTGTGTGTGTGGCCAGCTCAGCCCACCAGGGGGCGGGGCTGGCTGGCATGTGGTGCTGGGGGATTGAACCTCGGTCCCTGTGCTTTGCTAAGCTTGTTCCAAGTAGGTGCTTTAGACCACTGAGCCATCCCGCCAGCCCATGCTCTTTTTTTTTTTTTTTTTTTTGATATGTTATTGTTACTGCCTATGACAGATTTTCCCTTTTATAAATATAAAAAGAAAGATATCCTTGGAAGCCAAAATAAAAACTTGCTCCTCAGGTGATATGACTTTTTTTTTTTTAATTCTGAAGAAACTGATCATACAGAAAAGTGGAAATCTGTGTAACCACATGTCATAATATCAGCACTCCACAAAGAAAATATCCAATTATGACTAATTTTCTCTCATTTTTATTAGGTATTTTACTTGTCTTATACTGTTGTATTACATATTGAATGATACTTTAAAAAAATATTCCATACAATAGTTCTGTATTCCGTAGTATATCACTTTCCTTAAAGTGCAGGCTGAAAAAAATGCTCTAAATTTTCTTTGTTGCTTATTACACCTGTTGGCTTTGTATGAATAACTTTTAGAGCTATGATGTTCATATGTGACTTCACTCTAATTTTGTAGCAATTTAAACTTTAAAGAAAAACATATAAATGAGGAATGCTACATTCTTTACACATATGTACATACAACGTATAAACCATTTTATATTTTATTATGTAAGTTTATCTAAGAGGCCTTTTTTTTTTTAACAGAAAAAGACTACATGGAACAGTTGGCTGAACTGACAAGGTTAATATTTAAACTCTCAGAAGTAAAGACTGTTTTCTCAAAGGCTCAAGTCAAATGTTTACCAACCCCAGAAGATCCTAAAAAAGCACTTGTTCAGTTCCTTGAGGTATTTTTCTTTTATTAATTGTCCGAAATAGATACAGTTATTTTCCAAAAATAAATTGTTTTAAATTGAATTATTACTTGTCCCCCTACTATTGTGAAATTCTGGAAGAAGAAAAATGTGAATCTCAAATGTAGTACACAGTACTCTTAAAGACAGCAGAAAGTTTACATTTAATGCAGAATAATAAAATTAAAGATACTACATAAAAGCTTTACCCATGGTCAACCAGTACTATAAAAGTATTATTTATATTGCTGAAATTTTAGATAAGCATGTTCTTCTGTATTTGGGACTAAATTTATGCCAGTAGGAACCATAATAGTTTCAGCTGAATATTACTATTCTGTTCCATGCATGGTAATCATATGTGTCCACTAGCATGTATAGTATGATTGGGACTTTAAAATCTAATCCGCTTGTTTTGTTTTGTATTTCAATAATAATTTCATTTAACATTCCATTTTTAATGAAATTTTATTAAATTGAAAAGAATATATTTTGTGTGATAACATTTGTTTTATAAGCCCAGTTGAGGTTCTTAATATTTTTGGATTGGTGTCTTTTGTAAGATATTTATAGTAAGATTTGGTTAGTTTTCTACAGAATGGTCCATATTAAGTACACTGAAAATAAATTCATATAATAAGCTTTTTTCATGAGTGTTAATTCTTCCATTGGTTTCCATTAAGTTTAATGTACAATGATAGAAGAATTAGAGGGCTGGCTAAACAGTTCAGTGGAAGCACTTGCTTAGGCAGACGCAGAAACCGGGCCCCAACCCCAGGCAAACTGAAATGGTGACTGAAACTGGATGTGGTGGCACGCGCCTGTAATCCCAAAACTTGGGAGGCTGAAAACAGGAGGCTTACTACAAATCTGACCAGTGTAATGAGACCCTATAAGCCATGTATTAAGTACATTAAAAGAAAAAAAAAATTAGAGATGTCCTATAAATCCACAATAGAATGTATGGGTGTAAAATACACATTTCTGTTGAACACTAATTCATCACTGACTCTCAAGCCTCAGTCAGAAACATGTGGTGTGGTAGGAGCTGTGCTAGATCAAGAAAGGAGGTAGTCCAGCTTTTCACTGGTTGTTTTCAAAGTCTTCCCTAATTTAACCCAACCCCAAAATATATATATATATATATAATTTTTTAATCACTAAATAGAAGTCCAATGCACTATTCATTGCACTACACTGCTACCAGGTTTGTTTTTATCAGTAAGCACAGGACAGCTCCGTCACCCCCAACGTGTCTTAATCCTAAATACATTATCTAGAACTTGTAAGAGATTTTAAAAATCAAATAGGTTATAGAACTTTTGCTTGTTGGAGAATGCCACCTATACTAAGGTTGAAATAATAATATAAAACATTGCATGCTTAGTGCTGATTTGTTGACAGATCACTTTATAGGTAACGAATTTCAAGCATCTTGGCGTAAGATGTTTAGAATTTATCTTATGAAGATTTTTAAATGAATATGATTTGATCAAAAGACTTTTACAGAAATTAGCAATATAAATTAAAGGTACAAGATACCTGTTGATCCAAAACTAGTGAGGTTCAGATAGAATTCAAGATTGAATGATTATAGGATTTCTGGATGGATATGAATTAAATAAAAATAAATTCATTTTACTAGAAAAATGATTGATGTCTTAATAAGAAATGAAAACATAATGATTTAAATTGGAGCAGAAGGAGGTGAGGAGTTCCCCTACATAAACTTGTTTAGTTTGAAGCTGTATCACAGATCTCTTAAGATGGTCTCCAGGTTCTGCAATTCACTAGGAAGACCAATGGAACTTAGCGTACGGCTGTACTCAAAGCTATGACCTGTTACAGAAAAAGGACACAAAGCATAAACAACAAAGGCAAAGGGCACATGAAATCTAGAAAATCCTAACGTAGCTTCTGGGAGACTTTCTCCAGTGAATCTACACAAGATATACTTCATTCTTCCAGTAAGGAATTGTGACAAGAGATGAAGGATTGTCTATCACAGAAGCTCATTAGCACCATAGTGTCTATGGTTTTTATTTAGTGGAAGCTGATTTACATATACCCCACCTTGCCTTGTCCTTGCAAAATTACAGAAGGAAAGGAGGTATTTGCCATAGACTATATTGTTAACACAGTTGTTTTAGGAACAGTGAACCATTCTTACGGAATACTGAGAAGCCTTCTAAATCTAAAGGCCTCTCAAATGCCAGCCAACACATGACCATACAGACAGACCTTTTTAAGGATATCTGTGTAGGGCCTGCTATACTATTGTGTTTCTTCACAGAAATGATGGCATGATATGTAATTAGTTGTAGTCAAAGTACTAAGAAATAAGTGCCGTTAACCAGGCATAGTTGTCCATACCTGCATTCCAACTACTTGGTAGGATAAGGCAACAGGATGGCAAGTTTGAAAAGCTTTTTGGAGTGATTTAGTGAAATGCTGCCTGAAAATAAAAATAATTCTTTAAAAAGAGATGGGGGTGCCTGGGAGATGGCTCAGTAGAATAAGCACTTCCCTGGCAAGGGTAAGGGTCTGAGTTCAATCCCAGGTTCCACAAAAAAAAAAAAAAAAAAAAAGGTGGGGATGTAGCTCAGTGGCAGTACCCGTATTCAAACCCCATTGCCTGCCAAAAGAGAAGAGAAATAATGCACATCTTTTAGTCTGAGAGGATTTAAACTACACAAATTAATGAACATGTGGTGCTGATGTTCAAAAGTGTAGTTCATAGATTCCTGGGAGTCACCAATACCTTTTCAGGAGTTTCTACCAGCTCAAAATCATACCAGTTTTTGCACAAATCGTACAGAAACTAGTGCAAATCAAAATTGTGACTAAAGTTTTACTTGTATCTCTTACAATTTACACTACTATGCAACCGTGGTGGGGGCAGTTAAGGACATCATTAATGAAGCAGTGAAATTTAACTTCATTAGATTGTGACCTTTAAGTACAGACCCGTTTGTATTCTGTGAATGACAATGCAAAGTATACTTTTAAAGCACCTTTGCTACTTTCCAAAGCATTGTGGTTGTCTATTATTTGACTGGAAGTTGAAGTGACTGCTTTTATCTTGAAAGAACAACTGACAAAATATGGTTACTCAAACTGGGATATATGGCAGACATTTTTTCAAAAATGAATGAAAGAAATAAACCTATCACTTCAAAGAGAACTGACAGTATGTGTTGCTAATAATATAATTTGAGCTTTCAAGAAAATTAGAATTTTGGAAAACTTGTATTTTTTCATTGTGAGCCTGAGAGATTCCTGATACTTAAAGAATTTTCTGATGTGAATTGGTATTAATGCGTACAATTTTTTTTCCAATATGGATAATGAAACATGTCAACATTGGAAAGCTATGTAATTCAGTAAATCACAGTTTTCCAAATGACTGGAGGCTTTTCAACAGGCATTCATGAGCAAAAAATTGATTCAAAGTATAAGACAGCCCCAGTACTTTGAATGTAGCAGAATATGAAATGTTCATTGACATTGGTTTCAGATTCTATGATGCCTCACGTTCCATAATTTAGCTATGTCTGGCGTCCAAGAAATACAGCTTATCAAATTGTGGTAAAGTAAAAAAGAGATTTCTACAGTATTGATAAATCCATTAAATTTCTTCCAGGTGGACATATAGCCCAGAGGTAAGAGTACTTGGCTAGCATGTACAAAGCCCTGGGCTCAATTTCTAGTCCTGAGATAAAGAAAGGAGGTTGAGGTGGGAAGTGTATGCAGAAATAGAATCTAGCTATCTGCTGTTACCTTGCACAAAATTCTAGTATGGCATATGTCAAAAGACATAAGCTAATAATAAAAGCTTGTCAAGATCCTCATCTTTTCCGTGTATGAATAGGAACTAATACCAAAATGTTGGGGGACTTCTAATCAAGGGAAAAGAAGTTTGGAGGACAAAAGACAAAGAGTTAAGTAGAAAAGAAAGAATTAATCAGATGTATCTCTTGTTCTCATTTGTTCGTGTCCTAGTCACTTTGGTTCCTTTTTCGTCCTTCCACTCTTTAACAGAATAGCAAGTTTTAATGTTTCCATAGATAACTTGTCAGAGCTTCTGCTTCAGTTTTCAGGAGTCTTTTAGTCCACTTCACTCACTTCTGTGACTAAGCCTTGAGTGCTGGCATTGCTTGAAGTATCTGAAAGCTTTTGGCTACACTACTTGTCCCTCCAGGTCATGAGTAGCCACAGTCGGACTTCCCACTCCCTTTTCTCCAAGAACCACCTCCTCTCAAGGTCTCACTTGCTCCTGTCACCTGCACTGGACCAGAAGCCTCATTTGAACCCTTTCAGCAGTACCCTGATTGTCTGGCATCTTTTGCCTTTTGGTCAGGCCTGTGGCCCTGTACCCAGGGTCCATGCAGCCATCCGCTTTCTGTCCTTCATCTTAGCTGCTTTGAGCTGTGTGGGCAAAACTGTATAACTGTACTTGTACAAAAACATTGGTGCCATTCTTCTCCCAAGTTGTTATTGAAATCCTTCCTGAGTTCCCATAAATAATTTGAAAACTACCATTCTCTACAAGTTTTCTAACCCAGTTCTAGACACCTTTTGATGTTTTGGGGACTTTTAAATTCTTGTTTACTTTCGTATTCCTGAGTTTATTCATGTGTTTATTTCCCTTCCTCTTTTTCTCTCTTCTGTTCGCTTACTGCCTTGCCTCAGTTTCTATACTGCTTCCGTTTGCCATCTCTACCCTCTGCCACATCTTTTTCTTTTTTCTTTTTCCAATGAGAAAGTTAAGCTAGCAACTGATGGCTGGTTTAAAAAAAGATTATGACAGTAGGGAGGATATCTATTATATCATAAAACTGAACTTACACAGGTTTTACTTCTAAATTTTTATATAAGCTTACCTTGTAGGAACTTGGGGATTTTGAAGTCTGAGCCATACTAGAAATATGATGAACTAAGCTCTTTTAAGTCTTGGTTTTAAGTCTGCGATTAAGTTTTAAGCTTTTTGTACTAAAATTTCAGGTCTCTTTTCAGTGATGTTTTGCTGAATCAGACTGTGTAAATAATTATAGGTGAATTGATTATTTTTTATTCCTTTAACCTTTATTTTAATTATAAGAGGCAAGACAATTCTTTTCACTTGTTTTAATTGCAGTGAGCCTTTTTTGGAAAGTTAAGGATGAAGGCCTAAGTGTAATGTAGGGGGGTGTGTGTGTGTGTGTGTGTGTGTGTGTGTGTGTGTAAAGTCACACAAAAGAATTTTCAGTTTGTACTGTATTAAAACTGGGAAAGTTAAATAATGTTTTCTTTATTTATAGGCTGTTGGTTTAACTTACGGGAATCTTCAGACACTTTCTGATAAATCTGCCATGGTCACAAAGTCCTTAGAATACCTTGGTGAAGTATTAAAATACATAAAACCTTACCTGGGAAAAAGAATCTTCAGTGCAGGGCTGCAGCTGACTTATGGGATGATGGGTATGTATTTCTTACATTATTTTGCTAGTAACATTTCCTTAGGTTGGTTCGAGCCTGCAGTATCCAGATAGATAGGGCTATAATGGAAAAATCATTTATCCTCCACACAAGTATAGGAATAATCTGAAATGCAGTGATTAAATTTAAAATAATTCATGTCAGCCTACAGATGCTTGTTGTATTTGTGTTAAAATTATGATGAATACAGCAAATATACAAAGACCAGTCACTAGCAGTAGTTTACTGTGCTTCACATTGTGAATACCTAAATAACTAAAATGGACTGTTTACTAATGTTTACTTAGGCTTTGTCAGAATTAAAAACATCAGAAAACTATCACTTCTTTTTATTTTTATAGTCTGCTCAGTGTGAAGGAGGTCAGGAGAAGATTTGAAAAGGCATTAGATATTTATGTTTTAAATACAGTGTCATACAATACTCTCTTTTCAAAAAGAAATCTTTTCTCTGTGCCTGTTCAGTAACAATAGAGTTCATTTTTCTTTAGGAAATCAGTAATTTGAATATCTTTGTTCACTAAAATCATGTAGCTAACCAAAATAGGAACTGGATAAAGGTACATGAGAAAGATCTTCTTAGAAGTTTTTATATAGAATTTTAAGTTTTGGAGCTTTTTTATTTCTCTGTGACCAAAACCTTATATCTATTCCCTTTAATCTTGTGAATGTATAAATAAACCTGATTTGGGTTGTCTGAAACCTTTTATCTTTGTTGTGAAAGATAAAGGAGAACGTGAAAATGTATAAATATGGATGATGTGGGATATAATGAGAGCAGTAGTAGCAATTCAGACATCTTAATTCTGAGAGAAATGTAAGTGGAAATTTATTGTAAGTTTAACATAGTAAAACCTAGATTACTAAGTATTTTAGCATTTAGGCATATAATTTAGGGTTATAAATTAATAAACATTTAAAGTTATCAATCTTTAAAAGCATTTTCTAATGCATTCAGGTTTACATTTTTGCCAAGCTGTATATGTGATTACAGGGTATGTCTTTACATTTAAGGGTACACGATTGTCTTATCATGAAGTACAAGATTACAGTTTGATAGGTGTTAATGTAGAACTAGGACAAAATTTTACTTAGGAAGAATTAAGGGCTTTCTTTGTCCTGTCCTGCTACCTTGCTGATTTTCAATTTTTTGTTTGTTTGTTTTGTTTTTGTACCAGGGATCAAACTCAGGGCCTTGTGCTTGCCAGGCAGTTGCTTATGCTTCTGAGCGATATCCCTGATTTTCAATTAAATGTCAAATAGATATGTATTCTTTCTTTTGCCTATATCTCAAAGACTAGACATAAAACATATAGTTATGGGTGCTGCCCATTTATTCATTAGAATCTGCAACAGATAACTTTCTGAGAAAAAACTAGAGCAAAAGCAGAACCTGATTTGAAATGTCATGGTTGGGGTATCATAACTTGGTGAAAGAAAGAATTATGATTATTTACCTTGCTATTTCCAAACTAGGGATACCTGCTGTTCACTTGCATGGCTGCTAGTGGAAGGCACAGAACTTTGATAAAAATCAGTCTTTGTTAAGGGAAGCTCTAGGATTCTAATTATAATTCAGTAATTTCTAAAGGCAGGATTGGTGCATAAGTAACATTCTCAACTTCTCTTCCATTAATTTCCTTTTGGGGATTTAGGAAGAAGAGGGTTGTTTTGCTTTGATTTAGTTTGGCTATCTCATTCTCCATGCTTCATACTGTATGTTTCCATGTTTTTCCTTTTAGTCATCTCTGTCTCTGGTAAATCTTCCTGTTTTGTTTTTGTTATTGAAATTCTGCCATGACCTTGCAGTGCCCATACGGTTGTGTTCACCTTTTTCACATTCCCAGATGGACGTGGTCTCCTTGATTCATCTGTTGTTTCAATAACCTCACTCTATAGCTTGCCATTTGTTGTAATTGTGTACTTGACATGCCCCTCCTAAATTTTAAACTTAGGGTGGTGGCAATATCTTTTTAATGTTCCATTCTCATCCTGTTGTGTTTGAACACAAAAGAATATTTACTGAGTATCAGGCACTAGATTGGAAACTGGGAATATGTTCCTTTAAGAATTCCAATGTAAGAGATAGCAGATTCTAAATAAATGTTTCTGGAATTTAATAATTTTATAAATCAAACAATAGTACATAATATATTTTTGAATGTTTCTAAATGAGCAAGATTACTTTCTGACTATAGAATGCACCTCATAATGATCCCAACTCTTTATGTGTAGAAAAATAATGCGTAAGAACTGTTGTGATTATATTTGAATGGGAAGATTATCAGTGGGTATTCATGTTTTAATGTCAGTTTTTATCAGTAAAGATGTTTATAATGAAAAAAAAAGAGATCTTGTTTTAAATAAAGGAACTGTAAGTCAACTTTTCCCAAAGTTTTTTCCTTAAATTTTTTTGTTTGCCTTCATTTTCAAGTATCACAGGCACACCTAAATACACATACGTACACAATTACCATTTGCTGGAAATTTAAACAATAGGAATTTGAAACAGCAGTGCAGCAAATATATTACTTTTGTCTTCTGTACACTCATAACACAAGATCTTCAGCAAAAGGTTTTAACTTTTGCAAAAGATGAAATACAAAGATAGATGGGGTGTTTGGGGCTGGCAGATCTCTGTAAGTAATGCACATTGTGACACCTGAGTGTGATATGAATCATTCCATATGTCGGTGATGATAGCAGCTCCTTTACGGGTATACTAATGGAAATTACAATATGAGTTCTTCTCCTATTGCTGTCAGACTGAAGTTTTCTACCTACTGAAGACATGAGGAGCAAGTTAACATTGTTTAAAATATTGCTAAATGAACATTGTGTTTCTTTATGATTGATTATTGTGCCTCCTTTTACAGAAGATTAATGTTGCTGTTCTTAGACGTGATTATTGGTTGTTTTTTTTAACATCAGTGTACTCTTTATGTTTGTTTTCCAGCTGAGCTTGAATTTTAAAGTTTTTGTTTGATGGAAATGATTTTGAATGTTATCTTTTTTAGTTTATAAGATGCAACAATATATAGAGGTCTATGCAATCGATGTATCACTGCTGTTTGGACAAGCATTTAGTCTCATTGTTCAATGAATGAGGCTTCAGTAGTAATACACTATAGTGGAAATTGTATAACTTTATTTACATTTTTAAATAAGAGGTATTCGTTTGTTAAGCTTTACTATCATCAAATGTGGCAGTTGACAGACTCCTAGCATCAAGGAAATCATGAATACATTTTAAGTAAAGAAATATATTTCTTTCTTTTGTATAGTTTTGTTTTGAGCAGGATCACTGTAAGTAGTTCAGGCTGGCCTTGAACTCACAATCTAACCTGTTCTGGGTTCAGGTGATTCTCCTGCCTCTGCTTCCCAATTGCTGGGATTATGTGTGCATAGAACACCTGGTATGTTTCTCTTTAAGAATCACATTTTCTTCATTTTAAATAACTGAAAGATAATGAAAATTGAGGTTCAGTAAGCCTAAGTGATCGCTCCACAGTGTTAAAACTTATCTAATTTCTCTGTTTTAACAATGAAATTTAGTTATGTCTTTCCATGTTGCAAACTGGATTCAGTCAGCCTATAAAATTATACTGTGTAAAAACATAAATAGAAGTATTAAGAAAATAAACGTATCGCAATGTGTATCATTATGAGTGACAAAACTTGCTCAGAAAACTTGTGTATCTTGACTTGTAACAGAGAAATTTACGCAGTGAAATGAGTCTTTTGACTCCTAATATATTTCTTCCTACCACCTATTTGTATTAAGTACACTTTTTTTCATGAAATAACAAAATATTCTAGCTAGAAGATAACTATAACTGCTGTTACTTTTCTCTTTATTAGGAATTCTTGTTAAATCGTGGGCACAAATCTTTGCCACCTCTAAAGCCCAAAAGTTGCTGTTTCGAATCATAGATTGTTTACTGCTGCCACATACAGTATTACAGCAAGAGAAGGCATTACCTGCAGCTATGTTGACTGCAATTCAGAAGAGCCTACCTTTATATCTCCAGGTATACTAAGTATGGCTGCTTATAAGCATAAAGCAATGGAATCTTGGTCTTAAAATACAGTTCAGTGTATGCAGATTTAAAACTGTACATTGTAAACTCAAGGGTACATGCATATGTATTTGTGGTACAGCCCCTGAACAAATTTTTATTTCTTTTGTGTTTGACTTTGAAAAGAAAGGTTTATAAAGACAAATCCTTTACCTCACAGAGCTTGAGATGGAGCAGTGGCAGACTAGCACAAACACTTAGCAGCTGTGCTTAGTGTTTTCCTTAGAAACCTCAGCGACTTATCCGCCAGACTTAGAAGCTTCTGGGGGTGATATTTAGGTACAAAAGAGAAGAACAAATAGGAGTGGAGGACTGTTCTGTCTGAAGGAGCAAATATATACAAGGGCAGGAGATGTAAGAAATATAGGGCAAACTGGTGAAAAGCAAATGAAGTGGTACCTCAGTTTATAACCTCAATTCTCTCCACCATTCAGATTGCAAACCAAACCTGTCAAGAATGAAACTAGCCATTGAATTTGATTCCATTCTTGTCTAACTTGGATTGTGATCAGAATAGTAGAATCAAGTTCATGAACCAAGTTACTATAGTTCTATTATTTCTAGAAATTCATATGGCGGGTGCCTTATAGTAGAAGGATTTACGTACCATGCTAAAAGATTGAGATTCATCTCTTATATTGGGAGTGTTGATGAATTTTGTCGTGACATAATCATGTATATACTTTAAAAAATGATTCTAGTGTGGGCATCAAAGATAGTGTGGGGATTAAATTGGAGATTTAGAAGGCTTTAAGTAGTTCATTGAAATAACCATGCATTATCTAAATTGTTTTGAACTAAGCCAGTGAGATTAGAACCTATATAGATTTCAGAAACATTGATAAACTGCTAACTAAAATGGAATTTCTGCAGATGCAGATATGAAAGTAACAATTGAGTTGAGTTTTGTCTTATTTTGGAGGCAGACTATCACTATGCAGTGCAGATAGCTTTGAACTCAATATGTAGTCTGATTTGGTCTCAAACTTTGGACAGTCCTCCTGCTTCAGCCTCCCAAGTGCTGGGATTACAGGGGTGCACTGTCACGCCCAGCTAGTTTTTGAGCAACTTCAACTTGTGTGATATGGAAAATCTTGATAGTAATGTCCAATTCATTATTGTCTGATATGCAAAAGTAGTACTGTGGGGCTGGTGAGATAGCTCATTGGACTAATCACCTACTTAGGTAAGCGTAGGGACCGGGGTTCAATCCCCGGCATCACATGTCATGCTGGCCCTGCCCCTGGGTACGTTGAGCTGACCACTGAGTCCAGGCCTGGGTGCGCAAGCCTGTGATCCCAGGGCTGGGAAAGCTGAAAACAGGAGGATCACTATGAGTCTGAGCTGTATAGTGAGACCCTCTACCAGATACATAATTAAAAAAAAAAAAAAAAATTTCTAACTAAATTGCATACTTAACAAATAACAGCAAAATTTCTGTTTTCAGAGTATCTATTTGCTTTCTTGGGGTATTCGTGCCTTTGAGTTTAATCATTTGTAGGATTATTGTAATCTATGTGAAATGTAATGTTAACTGATACCAAGTGGAAGAGATTAAATCAACAGATATGTAATAAGTATTATGAGTTCTTGTGATCTTTATTAAGCTCCCAACTCTAGACATCAGTTTCCCTACTGCAAAATACACATAGAGTAATATTAACTCACTGTGGAATTTTTTTGAGAAATTTAGAATAGAAAAACCTCTGAATAAATCATCGTTATTCTGGGACTTAATCTGCTTTCTTCTCCAATTATCTTTTTAAAATTACATTTAATATGTTTTTTTAGTATAATTCTTGTACTTTTAGACAAAACAATCAGTATCCTACATAAAAAGACTAACCTAAACTGTATTTTATAACTATTGTAATGATCCTGGAAGTTAAGTGTTCTGATGATGAAAAAGAATCTCCCTTTTTTTCTCCCTGATCTTTCCCCCTATTTCCTGTGTCCATGTTCTCAAAATACATGTTTGGTCAGATGTAATAGCATATGCATTACCCAGTCTCAACTTCAAAGATATCTTTGTGTCTATTGATAAAGTTATAAATGGTAACATGAATACTAGCATTGGAGAATGTAATAGTAAGTTCCTAATTATTGTTTGTAAATTGAAATTGAATAATTTTTGAAACTTTGCCTTTTATTTGTTTTTTCTTTTTGTTTTTTTTTGCAGGGCATGTGTATTGTGTGCTCTCAGTCTCAAAATGCAAATGCCTACTTGAATCAATTGCTAGGGAATGTTATTGAGCAGTATATTGGGCGATTTCTTCCAACTTCGCCATATGTTGCAGGTCTTGAACAACATCCTGTTTTGTTGGCACTGAGAAATTCATCCACTGTTCCATGGATGTCATCTCTGAAGAAATGCATCATACAGGTTATAAGGTACATGCATGTATTAAAAATAGATATATGTACAAATTACTAATCTATACTAAAATGTGATACAACAGTACTTTAAGAAACATTGGCATTTGATAATTTTGAAACTTTAGTGAAAAATATTAACATTTTATTAAAATGACATTTGCTCGGCCGTTGAGATAGCTCAGTGGACCAATCACCCGCGTAAGCAAGCACAGGGACCAGGTTTTGATCCCTGGCACCACATGCTGTGTCAGCCCCTCCCCGCAGGTGTGCTGAGCCGGCCACCAAGACCTGGCATAGTAGCGCATGCCTGTAGTCTCTGTGCTGGGGAGGCTGAAAATAGGAGGATCACTATGAGTCAGAGCTGTGTAGTGAGACCCTGTACAAAAGGCATAAAAACTTTGAATCCCCATTGTTTAGGACCCTGGCTGCTTTAGCTGACTTTCCTTAGTATGCAGGGGGTAAGGGGGGATTGTTTTCATAGTTCTGATTGAAGATCCCAAAGTTAATAATCTCTGAAGTGTCTTTGGTTTTTTACTTTCTTTAATGCCTACTAAAGATGAAGAGACTGCCTTACTTTTAATCCCATGGGAATTAGAAAATTGGGGCTCCTTCCTCTGAATTCCTGAGAATTTTGTGCTTATTTTTTTCAAAGCTCCTGTCTTTTTTGTTTTATTAAACTTTACCACTAAATGGTGACTCCCTTGCTCCTTTTCTTAGACTTATACCCTACATACTGTAAGCACCCTCTGAATACTCAGCAGTGAATGAAGTAGATAAAACCCTGCCCTCAAAGAAAATGAATAGATCAAATGTGTAGATGTTTTGGAAATCACTATGAGGAAGAAAAATGATTACTTAAATATAGTTCCTACCCTTAAAGAAGCTTATAATCTGTAGTCATTGGGGGTTTTTTGCTTTACTGTAGAAAATTGTAAGTTTTTTCAAGTATGTCTGGATGCATAGTTTAAACTTAACAGTAACTCACCAGATTTTCATATTTTCTAGAATTACTTTAAAAACTGAATAGTTCTCACTTTCATTTATTTAGTTAACAGATATCGTTGAGCAGCATCTATGAGCCAGGAATTGTAAGTGCTGGGGCCAAAAAGATAAGTCAGATAAATTATTGTTATTCTCTCTTGAGTTGTAATAATAAAATTTGTCTTTCCTAGAGATGACACTAAGTCCTTACTTAGTTCTCTGGTACGTTTAAGACTAGAGGAAGGAAGGAGATAAGACTGGAATGGAAGTTCATTCCTAGAATACTCCTTTCATTTGGAAAGGTAAAACCCTCACATGTGAGGATTGTATGTGTATACCATTTTGGCAGTAGAGAAAGTGTTAAAGCATTGCGGACATAATTGAAGAGACCAGACTTATATTAGAAAGGGTAAACAAACGAGTGAATAATTAGGTTTCAATTTATTGTGGAGTCATGGAACTTAATATAGCTTATATCTGCTATTCTGGCATGTAGCACACCAAAAAGATACGCATTGTTTCTAAAATCTTACTTGAAAATACCATGGTAAGACACTCATACTTATTTTTTAAACTGTACTTTATTAATTTGGGTGGCAAATTTACTAATACCTGTAAAGTACATAGCATTTGTTTTAGCGCTATTGAAAGTTTAAATAGAAGAAAAAAACCAAAGTATTACTTCTTTTCAGGAAATCCTACTTAGACTATAAAGGGTCTGCACCCATTCCTCGGTTGGCAGCCATTTTGGCCTTCATCCTCCAACTCTTCAAAGAAACTAATGTAGATTTTTGTGAGATTGAACTGCTCCTGCCTGGCATCTTAAAATGTTTGGTGCTGATCAGTGAACCCCAAGGTTTGTCAGTTTATGATCTTGATTTGTCATCATTTTCTGTGTACAAGTTGGGACTCTACGGTGCGCCATCAATTAAATTGGTAGTTATAAAAGAATATGTTATTATTTCATATCTATTGCTTACTGGGTATCATGGATACACAGCAAACACCAACCAATATGCGAGGTCATGTTTGACAAAGTGGTTTAAAGCTGACATATTTCAGTCTTATTTTAGTGAGTTTTTTCCTTGCCTTGTTTTCATTTGACAGTTATGTACTACGTCCTTTGATTAGTCTTGTCAACTTTGTAAAGAAAGTTTGTTCAGCCTTACTCCAATATTAAATGCAGTTTGTTAAATATCAGGTGGTGAGGGGTCAATTACTTTCTTCTATGCAAGTTTTTGAATATCTGAGCTGATTTGGGAGAGACTTATAAAAATCTTCTGATTCTAGTCCCTTTGTTTTTAGTCTTATCACCTTAACTTCTTTTTTAAAATACCACTTTTTTATTTTCTATTGTAAGATACTTTAATGAGCTTATTAGGCAAATACTGGATTCTGCTATTAGTTCTATCCTGGAAAATTTTTTAGTGTAAATACAGTATTCTATATGTGTTTAGCATTATAACATCATGATTCAGGGCAGGGCTTCTCAAAATGTTGCCACATAAGTACTTTTAACTGTTAAGATAAATGAATAAAATGCTTGCCCTGAAGAATCTGAGGTCAGTGCCCAGAGTAGTAATGGAAAGCTCAAATAACACTTTGAAATGTTCCTTTTTATCTCAGACATGCGTATTTTTAATCCATGTTTACTTCTGTATTTAAAGTGTTTATCTCTGCTTCTAACCCAGGTTTATAAAAAGCATCATGTTTATATGAAATACACTGATATTTAAATGCATACTCTAGTAATACCTTGTTCACTGGAGAATACCCAGAAGTGGCCTCCCGACTTTTTAGAAACTTTGACATTATTGAAAAACATCCATATTTTAAATTTTAGTGAAAGCCTGTTGTATGGTATAACACAATTGCTGACAGAATAGGGAGTACACTAGTTGCCCTTTATCCAGTTTTGCTTTATGAAGTTACAAGTACCTGCTGTTAACAGTGTTTAAAAGTAATAGATGTAAAATTCCAGAATAAATAATTCCTAAGCTTTAAATTATACCTATCTAGAGGTTTGTTTGACTACCTGTCTATAAAATGGAATGGTATGACAGGAGAACTGCTAATGGCACAGGGTCTAGAAAGTAGAGAAGAATCAAGGAAAGAGCTGGGAGGGAGATAAAGCCTTGCAGGACATCTTCAGTGACCCTGCCTTGTAACAGCAACTCAGCTAGAAGCTCCTATAATCAGGTCACCTTCCAAAAGCCCTACTTTTGGAATACATCAGGTTCTTCAGGAGCATCTAGAAGTAAACCTAGTATAGACCATTCTGAATAGCAGGCTGAAATCTCACAAATCATCCCTTTTTCCAGTGTATCCACACAGTATATGCTATTTACCTATGAGCCACGAATTACAGACATTACTGTGCTTGGGTTCATGTAGTGCTCATTTTACTTAACAGTGGTCCCAAAGTGCAAGAATTGTGATGCTCACAGCGGAGACATGTCAAATCCCAAAGAAGCTTTGAAGTGTTGAAACGTAAAGTAACATTATTTTGAGAGGCAAACCCTATTCACATGATTTTTATTATAGTATAGGGTTCTACCTATAATTCTTGTTAATATCTTACCATGACACATTTAGAAATTAAATTTTATTGGATAGATATGAAAAAAATAGCACATAGTTCTAGGTGTTATCACAGATTGGGGCATCTGCTGGGTGTATTGGGACACATCCTCTGAGGATGAGGACAGCACTACTCTATAAGCATAAGCTACTCTGTTGTTTCATGCCAGCAACATTTTCTCATGAAGGAGACCAGAACTCACAAGCACATCTAACTAGTGAACGCATTGCATGTTCAGTGTAGATGGAGGACAGAATTCTCCATCTCTGCATTGCTATCTTTCTAAGCTGAAAAAACAGTATGAGGTCTACTTGATTGGCTTAGAGAAAACATGCTGACATAGAAATGTTTACATTACTGTTTATAGCACTATTAAGCCCTGCAGTAAAAACTTCAGTGCATAGATTTCAAAAAGTTGATAGGCCCATTCAATAGAGTATTATTTGGGCCACAAAAGAGAATGGGGTACTGACACATACTGTCATGTGGATGAACCTGCAAAATACGAATGTGAAAGGGATTCAGTCACTAAAAACTACTTATTTATATAAAATATTTATGATGGTTGAATCTGTATAGAGACAGTTAGTGGTTAGGAAGAGTCAAGTTAGCAAAAAGATACAGAATATTGTTTTTGAAAGAATGAAAACACTCTAAATTGACTAATTCTGAAAATATTAAAAAAACCCTTGAACTATGAACACTGTTAAATAGGTGAAATTATAGTATGTGAATTATATGGCAATACACCTGGGTTTTTTTTTTTTTTTAATAATATTACCCAGTTTTCAAAAGGTAACTTAGTTCAGTTAAAAGTTACAGAAAAAAGTCAAAATTTTAAAAAGTGTTACATTAATGTTTAAAACAGCTATATCCAACTGGCGAGATAGCTCAATGGTCTAAACACCTGACTGCCAAGCACAAGGGCCAGGTTTGATCCTTAGTCTCACATGCTATGCCGGCCCCAGGCACTGAGCTGGCCAGTGAAATCCCAGGCATGGTGGCTTATGCCTGTAATCCCAGCACTGGGGAGGCTGAGACAGGAAGATCACAAGTCCGAGCTGCATAGCGAGACCCTGTACCAAATAAAAAAGTGATTTAAAAAAAATTTTTTATAAGACAGCTATATCCATCCAGGTCAAAAAATGGAATCCATCCAAAGGTCCATTAGTAAATTGTTCAACAGTATGTTGTAAATCTCTCCAACAGAATATTACTAACCCAGAAAAAGGAGTAAGTACTGGTAAATTCTGTGATGTGGGTGAACTTTTAACACATTTTATAAAGCAAAGACAAGACACTTGCAGAAAAGTACATTGTATGATTCTATACATGAGCTTTCCAGAATGGCAAATACATATATGCAGGCAGCAGATTAGTGAATATCAGCGAGTGGAGGAGAAACAACAACACGGGGAGTGACTGCCGAAGAAATAAGCATAAGGGTTTTTCCCCAGGAGTGATGCACACGTTCTGATGATGACGAGTCCGCAACTTTGGGTGCGCTGCAAACTGTTCAGAGGGCAGCACTGTACTATCTTTATCTCAGGAAAGCTGTTATTCTAAAAGCTAGTGCTCAGTAATGGAGAAGATCACTTCCTTGTGATGTGATACTCTCTCCATAGAGATTTTGCTTGTTTTTCAAGAAGACATCTTTTTAAAAACATAAGTCATACTGCATTTAATAGAAGTTATGAAAGTTCTGTAGAGACAGTTTGCTGTGTGTTCTTTATCTACCAGCTTCATGCCATGAAAACGTTTACTTCCTATTAATTTAAATTCACATTTATCATGTTTTGTGGTTGTGTTATCATGTATTCATTTCTGGAAATATTCTTTTTCTTGCAGAAACATGTTTCTTCTTAGGTATTTCCTATCTAATCTGCCAAAACACCCTAGGAAGACTTCAGTAGCATTTAGAACATGTTGGGTTTTCTATTTTTTTCTCAATAGCTGTGTTATTCAACTTATGTCTGATGCAGTGAACTAAGAGAGGAGAGTTTTGTGCTTGCTCTGGCAGCACACATACTACCAAAGAAGGAAGCTCTGTTTTGGCCCACTGGTGAGCGGTTTGGCCCACCATCAGTTGTCCCTTTGCTTCTGGGCCCTGTGGTGAGATAGAACATCTAGATGACTGTGTGTGTGTGGGAGGAGGCTGCTGTCCACATGGAGCTGAAGCAGAGAATGATAGAAGAGGCTAAGGATCAAGTTCCCCTCCGAGAGCACAGCCCTGTTGACTTCATTTCCTCCCCTGGGCCCACATTGTTAATGTTCCATGACTTCCCAGAAGCCTGCAGGCTGAGATCCATGTGCTTCGTGTACAGGTCTTTATGGAACATTTCACATCCAAACCATGGCTACATTTTCGCATGTTTAGGGGCACAAGCACACAATTTTGTCTTGTTCTATATTTAAAGAATACAAATGTTATTTCTATACAATGTCTTTTAAAAGGAAGATATCATCACAAATAGTTTTCCTTTTAATATATAGTGTAGGTTTACCTGATTTTAAGTGAAAATAAATTGTTGGTAGTATCAGGCTTGTCATATATGTGTGAGGAGTGGGAAGAATATACTTAACAAATTTAAAAATAGCCTGTTTAATTCTAAATCTGAATTTTTAAAGTCTCTTTTGTCAGTGTGTAACATTGCTTGTAGGTTAGGACATTGTAGTATTTTTGAATATGGGCTCATTTCTAAGAGAAAAACATCTTCACACGTATGGTTTCAGTTTTAAGACTCAAAAATAGACACGTTTAGGTGTACTTTAGAACACAAAAAACTCATAACTATTTCATTTTGAAAATTAACACAAAAGCATGTACATACTTCAAGAAAACAACATATTTTTCTAAATCAAGAGTGCTAAAAGTGAGAATCCAGATGGTCAGTTCAGACACTGTGTGATGCTATAATTTTTCCTCCTAGTTAAAAGGCTGGCCACAGAAAACTTGCAGCACATGGTAAAAGCCTGCCAAGTGGGGTCAGAAGGAGAACCTGCCACCCAGCTGACTTCTGTGTTTAGGTAACTGGAAAATATGCCAGTTGGCAAAGAGACAACTGCCAACCATTTGACAGCCAGCATGTTTGTTAAGTAACTAATTATCCAAAACATGATGTGTTACTCCTTGTTTATAATATTGCAGTTATTGTATTTTTGGCAGTAGTTCTGTTAACATTGTATTATTTTATTGAAAAGTAAAAGTTCCAAGGGAAAAGATAGAAAACTGATTTAAAAGTACTTGTGAATTTAGTAAGAGTTTTGCAGTTTTGGAGAGGAAAAAGTGGGATGTGTGTGTCCTGACCACAGGAGCAGGGCTGGCAGCACTCGCTGGCCTGTGTCACTCAGGACCACTGTAAAGTCCTGGACTTTCCCACTTGCTTGAGATACTGCCGCTCCAGAAAAGTCCCTGATGTTTACTTTGTGAAGCACAGGCTGTGTAGAAGTTGATCTGTTGTTCAGGAGAGTGACAGTGCAACTTGAAGACTAATTTCTTCTTTTTTCTCTTTCCTGCTTTACCTCTTTTTAGAGTCTGGTGCCTTCTGTTTAAAAAAAGATTTTGTTTCTCTTAATATTTTTTTCTCAAAGTTCCTAAGTTTACCTTCATCGTACGTAACTCTTAACTTACTGGTACTTTAATAAATACTTTGGAGCCTATTCTCTTCACTTTGTTGGATCTTTGTTTCCTCAGCTTTTCTCTTTGAAGTCAGCATTCACCCAACTTTTATAGTTTAAATTGTGATCACATTTAACAATAATGGATTTGTTATAACAATAATGGATTTGTTAAAGTTGTAAAATCCCGGAGGGGAAAGAATTATATGTGATCAGAAATCAAATGTTTTTTTTATATATAATTTGTTGAGCAAAATAGGTATTTGTTGTCTAGAAATTGTAGGCTTAAAATATGTTACCTTCACTTATCAGACTTTTTATTTTATTTTATTTTTAATTTTTTGAGGCAAGGCCTCACTGTGTAGTTCAGGCTGGCCTTGAACTTGGAGCTGTCTTCCTGCCTCAGGCTTATACAGAGTTTCTGCTCGGTCTAATGTCTCTTACTCAGTTGAAGAAAATAAGGTTATAAATAACTTGGTTTACTCATAAGAATGATTTTAGTCTATCCAGAGATGAAAGACTAAAACATAACCAGGAAACCTAACTTTCTTCCCAGCTACACATTTCTCACCCGGATTTTGATGCAGTGAATATAATGCAAAGCCATTGGGATTAGTTTTTTTCCCCTTAGTTCTCCCTCAAAGAATCAGAACTTTTCCCTCCTTTTCCCACTGCCCTTACTCTGTCTCTCCTGCCTCTCACTGAAATAAGACTCTCATTTCTCACTTTAAAGTGTCACCTGTAGGGGCTGGCCAAATAGCTCAGTGGATTAAAGGGCCTGTGCAAGCAGGTGCAGGGACCCAGGGTTTGATCCCTGGCCTGCTCTGCTGGCCCCACCCCTGGGGCGCTGCTGAGATAGCAATTGAGACTGGGCGTGGTGGTGCTTGCCTGTAATCCCAGCTCTTGAGAGGCTGTAAACAGGCAGATCACTACGAGTCTGATCTAGTAGTGAGACCCTGAACACCCTGTAGACCCTTCCTTAAAATACAGAAAAAAATAAAAATAAAAAATAAAGTGTCACCTGTAGTCTTCATGTTGCAGATAGGTTTTTAAAGAAGTCATTTTTGAAATTACCTTTCTAATATCAGGTTATAGTTGATTGCAGTGTAAATACCAACCCAGGGAAATTACCCAAAAAAACAAATCAGGTTTTTTGTTTGTTTGTTTATTAGTACATGTTGGCAGTACATAGTGATTATATTCATTGTGGAAAGTTGATATTTGCACATATTGCATGCATTTTAATTCTTTAAATGTCATTTTTGCTACCCTTCCCTCTCCCTGTGTTTCTGGACTTGAATCTTGCGTAATGTGTTGATTTTCAGGCAGTTTATCCAAGAGTATGGAATAAGATACAGTCATCAAGTTTATGGCATTTTAGAGATAGTGGCCACACTGAACCAGCAGGTTGTCGTCCACTTGATATCTACCCTCACTCAGTCTCTGAAGGATTCGGAGCTGAAGTGGGGTATTGGCAAGAATACTGAACAAAGGTATGTTTGATGATACTATTACATTGCTTAAGCAATGATTATGAAATCTGTATTTCATTTTATAGAAATGGCACATTCTCCATTTGAAAAATTTGGAGTGTGTCCTTTTGAGTTGAAAAAGTTTCGGTGCTCTAGTGCGAGTTTTGTGATTGGAAAGTACCGTGGTTCAGTGACAGGCTTAGCGGAATTCACACGCCTGTTGCCATGTTGCTCATTTCCAAAGGATCACCAGAGAAAGCTGTATGTTTTGGTGATGCTGCTATGCTCAAACCACATTTAGCGTTCTTCACTGAGAAGCGATCTGCAGAGTCTCAGGTGCCTTGTGTTTTGTAGAATCCAATGATAAATTACAGCCCTTTGAGGGCTGCCTGATTTATCAAGTCCTCTATATCATGTATATCCAGTTAGTGGGATAAGTGACCCAAGTGTTTTATTCAAAAATAGGCACTTCTTTTCCTATAAACCAAAACAGTGTTGAACTATTTTGAGAAATGTAGTATCCTAAGTCTATAGTTCAAAAGAGATTATTGTATAGGAGAAAGTACACCAGTATTCTTATGTAATGACATTTGTTAATGAATCAAATATTTTAACTACATGTTTAGCTATAGTTATACAATCTAATATATACCCATATTTGTAGGTAAAATTTTTACTATATACTGTCATATTTGAGATCTTGCTTAGAGACATGACTATTGATTAGAGCTTCAGTGAACTAAAGAATCCATCTTTTCAGTATAGTAAATCAAAATGCTTAAAACAGAAACACCAGAGACCACCCTGACATAACTTTTCTATGGC